AGCAAGGAAACTACACAGTAACATTACCTCAACAACGATGGATGCACTTGTCTCTTCGTGAAACAAGTTCTTTGTGATTGCAATATTTCTTGTAAAAAAGATTTAAATGCAAAAGAAAAGGTATGAGAGAGCTGTTTATGTCAATTATGTATGTTTTAATTTAAAATGTTTGCGATGTTAACATAAATGTATAAATGTTTTGCCACTTGCTTGAGCAAATTACTATATAAATCTATATAGAAGTAAAAATATGTTTTTAAGTGTTATAAATTTAAACGTGAATAGCCTTGTGAAAGAGTGCGTAAGTCTTGTGAAAGAGTGCGTATTACTAGCCTACTGTCTGTGTACAAATAGAATCACAATGCTGAAACTCTTTTATATTATTTTATAAAAGACACTAATAATATAAATAGTGATTTAAAATAAAAATAGAGGATTAATGTTGTTTGTCGTACAGCCGTAGATCAGTTGCGCACTGCAAACCATATGTGAAAGCACAATAGCGCGTGCTGCTCCTGTGCCGCACACCACCACACTGCACTGCACACGGAGTATGTGTGAAACAGGCGTGCACTACAGGAAATAAACCCAATACTTTAAGCTTTTTCTTTGTTAAAGTCTCTGCAGCTAGTGTACTTGAATTTTATTCATCTGCAACATTATGTTCTATAATTACAGTTTTGCATAATAAATGTTTTTAAAACAAATACATTTTGCAGTTTGGCTTTCCTTATGGTCTGTCTAACCTGTTCTGAAATGGTTCTATTATAATTTATATATCGTGATATATATCGTTATCGCAAGAGGCTGCAATGTATATCGCAATATGGATTTTAGGCCATACCGCCCATCCCTACGCGTCAGCAGCGTCTTACGTCAGCGGCGTCACTGAACGCGGATCCACAACAGAACCAGAATACACACACACACACACACACACCAGACACGTCAGCAGCGTCTTACGTCAGCAGCGGCACTGAACGCGGATCCACAACAGAACCAGAACAAACACACACACACACACACACACACCAGACACGTCAGCAGCGTCTTACGTCAGCAGCGGCACTGAACGCGGATCCACAACAGAACCAGAATACACACACACACACACACACACCAGACACGTCAGCAGCGTCTTACGTCAGCAGCGGCACTGAACGCGGATCCACAACAGAACCGGAATACACACACACACACACACACACACACCAGACACGTCAGCAGCGGCACTGAACGCGGATCCACAACAGAACCAGAATACACACACACACACACACACACACACACCAGACACACGTCAGCAGCGTCTTACGTCAGCGGCGGCACTGAACGCGGATCCACAACAGAACCAGAATACACACACACACACACACACACCAGACACACGTCAGCAGCGTCTTACGTCAGCGGCGTCACTGAACGCGGATCCACAACAGAACCAGAATACACACACACACACACACACACACACCAGACACGTCAGCAGCGGCACTGAACGCGGATCCACAACAGAATACACACACACACACACACACACACACACCAGACACACGTCAGCAGCGTCTTACGTCAGCGGTGGCACTGAACGCGGATCTACAACAGAATACACACACACACACACACACACACACACCAGACACACGTCAGCAGCGTCTTACGTCAGCGGTGGCACTGAACGCGGATCTACAACAGAACCAGAATACACACACACACACACACACACACACACACACACACACACACACCAGACACACGTCAGCAGCGTCTTACGTCAGCGGTGGCACTGAACGCGGATCTACAACAGAACCAGAATACACACACACACACACACACACACACACCAGACACACGTCAGCAGCGTCTTACGTCAGCGGCGGCACTGAACGCGGATCCACAACAGAACCAGAATACACACACACACACCAGACACACGTCAGCAGCGTCTTACGTCAGCGGCGGCACTGAACGCGGATCCACAACAGAACCAGAACACACACACACACACACACACCAGACACACGTCAGCAGCGTCTTACGTCAGCAGCGGCACTGAACGCGGATCCACAACAGAACCAGAATACACACACACACACACACACACACACACACACACACACACACACACACCAGACACACGTCAGCAGCGTCTTACGTCAGCGGCGGCACTGAACGCGGATCCACAACAGAACCAGAATACACACACACACACACACACACACACACACACACCAGACACACGTCAGCGGCGGCACTGAACGCGGATCCACAACAGAACCCGAATACACACACACACACACACACACACACACACCAGACACACGTCAGCAGCGTCTTACGTCAGCAGCGGCACTGAACGCGGATCTACAACAGAACCAGAATACACACACACACACACACACACACCAGACACACGTCAGCAGCGTCTTACGTCAGCAGCGGCACTGAACGCGGATCCACAACAGAACCAGAATACACACACACACACACACACACACACACACCAGACACACGTCAGCAGCGTCTTACGTCAGCGGCGTCACTGAACGCGGATCTACAACAGAACCGGAATACACACACACACACACACACACACACACACACACACACCAGACACACGTCAGCAGCGGCACTGAACGCGGATCCACAACAGAACCGGAATACAATACAATGCTGAATAAAGTCCTAGTTTTGGTTATTTTTGGACCAAAATGTATTTTCGATGCTTCAACACACTCTAACTAACCCACTGATGTCACATGGACTACTTTGATGATGTCTTTATTTCCTTTCTGGACAAGGACAGTATACCGTACATACATTTACAATGGAAGGACAGAAAGCTCTCGGACTAAATCTAAAATATCTTAAACTGTGTTCTGAAGATGAACGGAGGTCTGACGGGCTTGGAGCGACACGAGGGAGAGTCATTAATGACATCATTTTCATTTTTGGGTGAACTAACCCTTTAAAGTTGACAGGCTTTCTTTAGCAACAAATGTACATTTTGTTGTGTGATTCCTAAGCCACCAAATTCATGACAGTCTTTTATGAACTATTTCACACTTATATACTGTATAAGTATAGAACCACTAGGTGACAATAGTATATATTACTATAAAATATGCAAATATGCAGTTACCGTCCAGTGGCCTCTCTCGTGCTGTCCGGTGGGCACCATGTGGCAGTAGACCTGCACCGGCCCATCTACTGAGGAGACGCTGTAAACGCCACTGTCATTTACCCCACTCGAGTAAATATCAGAGCAGTCGAGAGCCAAGATGGCGCTTGTCTGAGGAGGCTGTTTTGAACTCTTCTGTCAGAAAAGTGGAGGTTTTTGATATCACAACCTAATTACTTTGACTTGAAACCGGTGTAATGATGGCTTGAAAGTAAGGGAAACCATTTTTGGTGCTACGAGGCAGCATTATTGTGAAAATATGCTCATATAGCCTACATTAAAAAAGGAGAACCGGCAAAAGGGAAAAGTCACAACTGGCGGTAACGTTAAGCGTTAGGCTAAAGTTTTGTCAATACGGGAACACACGCCAGAGAGTGAAAGCAATGGAAGACAACTCTAACGTCAGCACCACAGAAGTTCCAATGGAAGACTCGGGTAAAGACAATGTATCGAATAAACTTGACGTTGACACAGGGGACATTCTTTCCACCTCACCTCATATCTCTAAGAAACCTGTCACAAAGAAGAAGAAGCGCGAACACAGTAATGGTAACGGTGACGGCGAAGAGAATGGCCATGCGGACATTTTGGCTGCTATCCAAGATTTAGCCAAAAGTTGTGGTGAACTAGGGCAAAAAATTGACAACTCTTTCCATAAAATTTCGGTCATCGAACTGACAACAACTGAAACCTCTAAGCAAATTGAGAAACTCTCATTTACTGTTCAACAACTTGTGGTGGACGTTGAGCAACATAAAGAAGTGCTGAAAAACACGAAGCAAGAGATTGAACATCTGAAAAAAGAAAACCGAATCCTGAGGGAAGGAGTCGCCAACTGTAAGCGTTATAGCTGGAGATGGGCGCTAAAGCTGCACGGGCTGAAAGAGGAGGCCAACGAGGATGTGAGAAGGGTGGTGATTACTGTGATTGGAAAAGTTGCACCTGGGCTACAGGAATACCTGGAGGAGGGGATCGACATTGCCCATCGTGTCGGCCCTAAAAAACAGGATGGTCCCCACAGATCTGTCATTATTCTATTTGCACTTCGCCGCATCCGTGATGCTGTCTGGAAGAGCGCCGAAGGGAGCAGGTTCCTACGTGACAAAAAATTGCGGCTTACTGAGGCTTTGTCTCCGGAGGACAGAATTGCCAGAGAGAAGCTCTGGCCCCTAGTTAAAAAAGCAAGAGAGGAGGGGAAAAAAGCTTCTTTCCTTGGCCCCCTCGCTCTAATTGATGGGAAAAAGATCAACTACGCAGACATTGATTAATACTTTCTAAACTGACATTTGATGGACGGGAAGTTGTATGATGATTTCTCATCCCCTGTGATCCCAGAGTGTTTCTAACGGTCTTACTGTCATCGGAGCTGCAGACCGGCAGAACTAATAATGGGTCCTCCTTTGGTTCAAGAAACATTAACGTCGGTATGTATATATATATAAAAAAAAAGGATAGAAAATAACAAAAGGAAAGTAAAAGAGTATTTTGTTTTTGTCCTGAAACGAATTAAAGGTTCTCACCCAAATATGGGCTAGTGGCTGGCTAATATAGTTATTTGTGATTATTTGGTCCTAATGTTTGGTTCTGAAATTTTCTAAATAATCTTATACAATATGTTCTCCTAAAGGAGTTAGTATCTTTAAAAGTAATACCTTAAGTTCATATATATAATTAAACTAAGTTGATAAAAGTAGGCTGTTATATAAATGGCTATGTTAAGGATAGTTTGTAATTCTGTTTATTATACCAAATCAAATATATGGTGCCTTAATATACATTTATTTAGTCGCTATTTGTTCACCATAATGTTAATGGTTGTGTATCAATCCTTCTTCAACGGTTACTTAAACACTTCTTACATTTCTTGTTACTAGTTGAGAGCTTGTTTTAGTTTGTGTCTTATAGTTTTTTTGTTTTTCTGTTTCTGTTTTTCTAATTTATTTGATGGATGTTAAGTTAAATTCTCTTACTGTGATGTCATTGAATACCAGGGGTATACGGGACTCTGTAAAAAGGAAAGCTATTTTTTTATTTTGTAAAAGAAGTGAGGCTGATTTGATTCTACTTCAAGAAACACATTCCTGTGAATCGGATATTAAGTTTTGGAAAGGGCAATGGGGAAATGGAATTTACTGTAGTCATGGCACCAATCGCTCAGCTGGGGTCTCTATCTTTAAACATAGATTTAAAGGAGATATTCTAGAGGTGGTATCTTCTGATGATGGCAGATGGTTAACTATTGTTATTAGGCAGGATAATGCAATCCTTATTGTGTGCAATGTTTATGGTCACAACTCACGCTCTCGAAACAAAGGGCTTTTCTCCCACATAATCTCAAAATTAAATGAACTCTTACAGAAGTATTCAAACTCCCTCTTAATTTTAGGTGGTGACTTTAACGAATGTGCTGATGATGCAAAAGACAGGTACCCTCCCAAGATTGGCCAATCTTTACAAAGTAACAATCTGATTTTAAAACTTTGTTGTGACTTGTCTCTGACTGATGCATGGCGCTTTTTGAATCCTGATATGTTGAATTTTACTTGGTCTAACAGAAGTTTGTCGTGTAAATCTAGAATTGATCTTTTTTTAATTTCAACAAATGCTCTTCATCTTCTTAAAAACGTGTCTCTTTCTTCTGCCCCTTTATCAGATCATAAACAAATTATTCTGAAAATGGGTGATTCACAGGAAACTGCAAACTTAAGAGGTTACTGGAAATTCAATAACTCTCTTCTCCAGGACGTCAACTTCAATGATAGTATAAAAAAATAATTGAAGAAATATTTAATGATAATACAAATTGTAAATTCAGGCAAAAATGGGAATACTTTAAATATATGGCAAGATGTGCTGCTATTAAGAGAAGTAAAGAACTTAAATTCCTTAGGAATCAAAAAGAATCAGAATTATTTAATAGAATTAACATCCTTTTAACTAAAAGTACTGTATCTTCTGAGGAAGAAATGGAGTTAAAGGAGATACAACTAAAAATAGATCAAATGTATAAGGATTTAGCTAAAGGCGCATTTATAAGGTCTAGAGCTAAATGGCTGGAGGAAGGAGAAACCAACTCCAGTTACTTTTTTGCTCTGGAAAAAAGAAATGGAAGGAGGAAATCACTGGATGTTCTTGATATTAATGGAACTCACTGCTCAGATACAACAGAGATTTCCAACTTTGTCTCTTCATTTTACAGTGCCCTTTACGCTTCCAAATTTGATGATTGCAAATAAATTTCATCTCTAAATCAATGAAGGATGTGCCTGCTATTAAGGATGACTTTAAAACACTTTGTGACTCAGAGATTACGTTAAATGAAATTAAAACAGCACTTTTTTCTATGAAAAAAGGGAAAGCACCCGGTATAGATGGCCTTTCAGTTGAATTTTATATTCATTTCTGGGACCTTATTCAAAATCTTTTATTCTACATGTATAAAGAATGCATCAGTCAGAGAGAAATGAGCACAACGATGAAACAGGGGGTTATCTCCTTAATACCAAAACCTGATAAAGATGTTTTACTAATAGATAATTGGCGGCCCATTACTCTATTGACTATTGATTATAAAATCTTGGCCTTAGTTTTTGCAAGCAGATTAAAGACCGGACTTGATCATATTGTTGCTGAACCTCAGTCAGGTTTTATTAAGGGACGGCATATTAGTAACAATGTTAGACTTTAGATCTATTGGACTATGCAGACTCAATACACTCTAAAGCTTTCATCCTTTTTTTAGACTTTTATAAAGCCTTCGACACCATTGAACATGGTTTTCTTATAAAATGTCTCAAGTTGTTTGGTTTTGGAACGACATTTGTAGAGATGATTGATATGTTTTATAGAGGAATTATTAGCTCTGTGATAGTAAATTTCAACACATCTCCTAGATTTGATATAAAGCGGGGTGTTAGACAAGGTTGCCCTATTTCGCCCTTTCTTTTTATTTTAGTTGTTGAGTTATTATCCAGGAACATTGTATGCAATCCTGATTTTAAAGGCATCTCCATATTTGATAGGGAAATTAAAATTTCGCTACTGGCGGATGACACAACGCTTTTCCTTAAAGATAAAGATCAGCTACCAAAAGCTATTGAGCTAGTCGAACAGTTTTCTGCAGCCTCAGGTTTAAAGCTTAATATATCTAAATGTGAATGATTGCCTGTGCATGATTGTGAAGATACTTCGATAGGAAGTGTTCCTGTAAAGAATGTAGTGAAATATTTAGGTATTTATATATCCAGGAATCTTTCAGCCAGACAACATTTGAACTTTAATGAGAGAATTAAAAAAACTAAGAATATATTTAACCTCTGGCTTCAAAGAGACTTAACGATATATGGTAGAGTGCTTTTATCAAAAGCCGAGGGTCTGTCTCGTTTTGTTTACCCTTCACTTTCTCTTTTTGTTAATGAATCCATGGCCAATGATATTAATAAGTTATTCCTTGATTTTATTTGGAGAAATAAAACTCACAAACTTAAAAATGCTGTGCTATCTAATAGCAGAGCGGAAGGAGGTCTTGAAGTTTTAAACTTCATTGATACTGTTAATACTTTTAAAATTAACTGGCTTAAAAGATGTCTGGCAAACCCTAATTCTGTATGGTTTCTTATCCCCAACTACATTTTTGAAAAAATTGGTGGCCTCTCTTTTGTCATGATATGTAATTATCATCCAAACAAACTTCCTGTTGCATTATCTAAGTTTCATCAGCAGTCACTTCTTGCATGGAAGCTATGTTTTGTCCACAACTTTTCTCCTCACAGAACTTTCTTATGGAATAATATTGATATAACTATTAGAAATTCCTCTCTCTTCTATCCAAAGTGGTTCCAAAGAAATATTGTAAATATCTTGACGTTGGTTGATGAACATGGCTCCATACTATCATATGAGAACTTCATGATAAAGCACAGTTTTCCCATTCCTTTTAAGGAATACAATGCTGTCGTTAAAGCCATCTCTTCTGGTTTGATCCATCTAATTAGGAGTCATGTTCTTTTTAATAAAGTAAATACCTCATATGCTCAACCTACATTGTCTTTGAACGGTATTCAATTACTTGATAAAAAATGTAACAATAAATACATTCGTCGAATTTTGCAAAGTAAAAACAAAGTTCTTCCAAGAGGAAAATTTTACTGGAATTCACAGCTGGATGATATAAACTGGAAAAAAACATGGCTTTTACCTCATAAATTTTGCATTTCCAACAAGGTAAAAGAAGTTCATTTTAAAATC